AAATATCTGGCATTTATGACATAAATTGATTATGAATGTAAATAAGACATTTTTTATAAATAAATAGCATTTCTGTCTTAAGAAAAAGAAGTGGCTCTTTTGCAAAAAATTCTTCTAATAACAATAAATATCTGATTTATAATAAAAATATAAGTGTTATAATAAACTAATAAACTACTGTTAACCTACTGCTGTCTATATTATTTATTCATTTATAAACTACTAATTTACTATTAATGACTTGCCATAAATCATGTGACAAAACTGATAATAAAATAAAAATGTTCTAACCCTAATTTAATACAGTATAATCCTGGGTTGAAATAAATAAAAGAAGACTAGATTAGTAAAAGAAAAGGTTAAAAGAAAGACATAAAGAGAAGAGACAATTACTTATTTATGAATAAACTACTAGTCAAATCAAACATATCTATTTCAACTTAGCTGCTTTAGGTTATTTAAGAGTTGAATTAATTTAGTAATAGACTTGCTGATTTTTAGAATAATAATATAATTATATAATGATTATTAAATAAGATTTCTAATAACACACCTTGTTTTATGTATTTTTAATAATTAGAACAACTAAAATACTTGAATTAATAATCTAATAATAATAAAAAAACTGTAGTAGTAATTTAATAATCTTATTTCTAAATATTTAATTAATAAATTTACTAATAATTCATCTTCTTTATATATATTTATAGCTGAAACAAATAGGACAGCTAATAGAACTACTAATGAGATTGCTAATAAGATCAGAGTAAGTAAATTAGTATTATATAACTGCTTACTGTTTAATTAAGGACACCTTTCTAATAACTAGGCTTGTTTAATATATTTAACACCTACATATCAGAACAAAATGCAACATCTACAACCAAAAAAAAATATAAGCATTTGCTATGTCAGTATAGTCAATAAAAAAAACATCAATGTAGTATAACACTACTTTCTGTCCAATACAAATTTTTTTATTAAAAAACAATTACTTCAAAGATCTTATTGAGGTAGACATTTACTTTACATTAGTACTTTTTTCTAAAAGATAGTATTTTTGATCTATTTTTTCTTTATATACATATGTACTATTATATTATATATTACATGTACTATATTTTTATATTGCCAGTATAACTATTATATATTGTACAACTTACTTAAATTTTATATAACTAACTATTATTAAGTACTATAGCTACAAAAAATTATTATTAACTCTTTCTGCAAATCCATTGTACAAAAATTAACTAAAAAATCTGTTCATCAAAAAACACTTATAATTATTTATTTTACTAAGACAACCTGTTCTGATGTTTTAAGTAATATTTTTTAGCTCTAAATTTACATATCCTGCAAATATCATACTTTTAGCTTTTAAACTCATTGAGAATACTGTACTGATGGCCTTTGGCCTCAGTTTTAACAATTAATTTTTTTTTACAGTTTCTACTATAATAACATATTTTTTACTCTTAATTAAAGTTGTAATACATATTTGTCTAGTCAAAACAAGCTCTAAACAAAGAATTTTGATCTAATATTGGTCGAATTACAATAAAATTTCTCTTTTACTCTCTTGTAAAACTTTTTCTTCTTCTATTTTTGTTCCTACCTGCCCCCTTTTTTCTTTACACATTTTTTGGATAATTATATTATTATTTCCCAATTTATATTTTATTAATTTACACAAAAATTTTCTGTAAACTATCTATAAATAGAAATTCATTCAATACAACTTAATTATTTCTATATTTGTAGGTTATCTAAAGCTATGTGCAGTCATGTGACAGTCCTTTTTTGACCTTATCTCTGGAGACTGCTCTGGAGGTTGTATCCTAAATATGGTAAATATATGCATCCTGATTGGATAAAATTAATAATTCAAAATCAAAATATAATTTTTCTCAAACTTTGAAAGAGAATATTTTGACAACCAACTATCTAAAATCGATAAAAAATTTTTATTTTAATTATACATTCATATAGAACCGTAATAAAAAAATTTTAGTTAATTTTAGATAGGTGGTTGTCAAGATATCTTTGCTCAAAGTTTGGAAAAAACTTTACCACAACTTGTTTTAATTATTAATTTTTTCTAAGCTTTGAGTGAAGATGTCTTGACAACCATCTATCTAAAATTAATAAAAAAAATTTTTTTAATTATGCAATCATATAGAATCAAAATAAAAATTTTATTGATTTTAGATGGGTTGTTGCCAAGATATCTTCATTCAAAGTTTAGGAAAAACTGCTGCAACTTGATAGTTATCTAAGTTTTTCTAAACTTAGAGTGAAGATATCTCAAAAATCATCTACCTAAAATCAATGAACATTTTTTTATTTTAATTATATATTCAAATAGAATCAGAATAAAAACAATTTCATTGATTTTAGATGAGTGGTTATCAAGATATTTTTGCTCAAAGTTTAAAAAAAATTGTCACAGCTTCTGGTAATTGTCTTTTCTAAACTTTGAATAAAGATATCTTAACAACCACCTATCTAAAATCAATGATAATTTTTTTTATTTAATTCTATATATCTGTATAATTAAAACAAAAAATATATATTAATTTTAGATAGGTGGTTGTCAAGATATTTTTGCTCAAAATTTGGAAAAAATTTAGATAACTATCAAAACAAGCTGTGGCAAAGCTTTTTCCTAAACTTTAAGCGAAGATATCTTGATAACCATCTATCTAAAATTGATCTCTTTCTTTTTATTTGAATTATACAGACAAATAAAATCAGAATTAAAAAAAATTATATTGATTTTAGATGGTTGTTAAGATATCCTTTCCAAAGTTTAAAAAAAATTACATTTGAATTAATTTTAAGTAGAATCTCATTTTAGTGACAAATTTTGTTGCCATGGCTATGATACTATTATATATACATGTAACTAACAAATAATTTATTAAGAAAACATATATCTAAATTTAATTTTTTAAAATTTCATTATAAAAAATAATTTTCGTCAAAGACATTGTAAAGAGGCCTTTATTTAAAGAATTGAAAACATTTATTTTTGTAATAAAATTAAATCAATTTGTAATTATAATGGTTTTTCTCTCTAGGTAAATCTGTAAAGCCAAATCAGTAAATAATTTTTTAAATAAATAGTCTTTATACTTATTGAATTAATACAAATAATGAAATTTAATACTTTTTTTAAATGCATAGATTAATAAATAAGTTCTTATAGCCTAACATAATATGAATAAAATGAAACTAATGAGCCATTGTGTGAAAGCTCCAATTAATAAACAATATTCATATTTACTTACTCAAACATAAACATTAGACCATTTTGTGACCAGAATCTATACATTGTCTTGCCAATTCAGCAAATTCAGATTGCAATCTGTTATAAATGTATTGGATACCATTAGGCATTTATTTGCTTCTATATTTTGAGTTAATTTATATATCTTTATGTTACTACTGTATAATCTGCATTTTATATGATTATCAAGCTTATAAATTTATATAATATAAATAAATTAGTTTATAACTCACTTAAAAAAACTTACAATGAATAATAAGTTGACTTACTTCTTTTAAAAAATCTCAAAGATTTTCTTAGAACTATACAATGGCTTAAGTGCAACAGTTCTAGACAGTTTATGTACTCTTAAACTTTGTTATTATGATTGTCTTAGTTATTTCAATCTTTTAAACTAAACTGCAAAAATACAGAACTAAACCTCTTTTACAAATTTTTAATATTAATTAGCTAATCAAAAAAAAGAAAAAACCACTCAACTATACTTTCATACCTATTAGCTCTAAGTTGAAACTCCTTTATGTAATCATCAATATATTTATTTTCTTTTGTCTATCTTCAAGTTGTTATATTAGGACCCTATATATTAAATTATCAATTGTACTATAAGTTGTTTCACATTATTTATACGATCTTAAGTTTAAATTCAAATAATTTTATGTGCATCGACTAATTAACATGAATAAGAAAATTATATATTAAATAGGTATTCATGAATATTATCTCATCTTAAATTCTTAGATTAACAAATGTTTTTAATACTTACCTCTCAATTAGCACAAATAAAATTAAATATTAAACATTTTTGAACTTGAATATTCTAGTTTAAATTTAGATTAATAAATGTTCTATACCTCCCTAACTGCAATAAATTTAAAACAATAATTAATAGTAAATATTTATAAAACACTTAAATTAGCAAATATTTGCAAACTTATTTACACAAAGTGAAATTAAATGTTATTTTATAAAAATTTGAATAACTTATTAAAATACATCAATAAATAAATAATTTTTATACTTACCAACCAAATTAGTGCGAGCAAAGTGAAATTGAGTGATAAACTCAAAAGTTTTTTTAAATAAATTAATAGATAATTTTTTATACTCACAGCCCAATTAACTGAAATAAAATCATGATGAACTTAAAGCATATATCGATTAGGAATTATACTCGCAAACTATTGTAAAATTAAGGCAAATAAAATGAACTAAGGTAAATATAAATAGCATGTTTTAAATACACTAGAGGTGCAGGTGAATCATTCCAATAATGCCATAACCACATTAAATCATTATAAAAAGTTACAGCAAATGTGCTATAACTTTTAATAATGATTTAATATAGTTACAGCACATTATAGCAAAGTTATGGCATCATTGGGACAATTCATCTGCACCTCTAAAATACACTAACAGATTATCTTTATACTCACTAATTCGTATTACATCTCTATAATAATAACCAAACATGTTTAAATCATTCTGAAATTTTTATATATGATTTTAAACACAACAGGATCATACTTAAAACTTTTTTTTTTTTTTTTATAATATAGTTATTGATTTTTTATCTTTTAAAAATAAAAAATCTGTATAACTGTGAAGTTGTGTCACTGAACATCAATTACAATTCAATTTTCTATTTATTATATAACCCTTTCCTTACAATTTTAATATCTGTTATTTTCATTATTTAGAATGGGTTTTAAATGCAAATGCAATTTCTGAATAAATGCTCAAGTTTGCTCAAATTGTCTCTTTTCTCAACTCTCCAATATACATCTTGCATTATTTCAATTAACTCATTTACGGTAAAATGCCAATTCTCTGCAGCTTTTTTAGCTTCAGTTTTTTCAGATTCTTCTATTTCAATTAACTCACAGTGAACATATATATTGAACCCCATCTCTTCAAATATCCATTGAAACTTTACTTATGCATCAATTGTTAACAGTCTTGCAGCATCATACATATGCTCATTAAAGACGTATCGACAAGATAACAAATAATGATTAAAAAAAAGGCACTCACAATTAAGAAAAGTAAGGCCAGGTGCAATTTTTTCTTTCTCAATTCTTCCTTCAACTGCATGAAGTTCACAAACAAGCAGCTGTTAAATAGGAAATGTGAATTTGTGAATCTCTTGAAGAACTTTATGATCTATGCCAATTGTCGAAATACTCTTAGTGTGGAATTCAAAAGCAATGTATTCGGAATCTAAATGCTTCTTTTCATCAAGTGCAACAATTCTATGGGATGCACCTAAAAAATAATAGTAAATTAATGTAAAGTCTTATATCAAACATTTTTTGTATTGCTACCTAGCACTTAGATTTAATTTGAACCAAATGATATAACATTTTAATATCATAAAATTTTAAAATAGCAGGCATGAATTATTTGAAGATATGGCCCAAATTCGAGCTGTAACTCCAAATAACACCATGCCTGCTATTTTGAAATTTTAATAAAGCACTAATTCATTAAAATATAAATCACAGAAAATTATATCAATTAAACCATATTGTAAGAAAGTTGTTTGTTTCAATTTACTATGATAAGATTTTAATGGATTAGTTATAATTACTTGTAAGAGGATAGGAGAATGTTGCCAGGCCCAAAGAGCCTATTAATAAGTATTTTTTGTATAATATCTTTGAATATATTGTTTGATCATCAAAACTACATATTCATTAATCACTTGTTGATGAGATTCTTACATCCAATTTTAGTTTTTTTGTGCATAGCTTGAATCATTTTTTGTCAAGTCCCTAAATCATAAATTTTACTCATCAAGTTCTCATTACATGCATGATACAAAAAATTATATTGCACTCTTGTTCACCATTTTGAAGACCTGGAAATGCAATTTTTACACTGTTTGCTTCAATATGGCTTTGATTCATGAGAAATTCCTTGGTTTTCAATGACATCCAAACTGTCTAATAATCTTTAGGACCTCCCCAAAAGTATTGCTATCTTTATTGCTCACAAAGAAATGTGCTTCAATTGTCCAACATCTATATTTGTTATGAACATATAAGGTAAATAATCTATAATCATATTGATTTGTTTTATGCATAGAGTTAATCAAAGTTAGCCATCCATATTGTTCCAGGTTATTAATTTGACTAGAAAGTGCAAAAATGAAACCTTGCATAGACTGCATAGCAATTTTAAAATGTTCACATAATAATCTTTTTGTTTAAGAAAAGATATTGATTTATGAATATCTAATTCATGGTTTGGGTTTCTAATAAAATATGTATCTAGAGGCCCACGAGCTTTGAATTTAATATTTGTAACTTATTTCCACTACAACTCCTTACACTTTTACCTAAACCTAATTTTTCTATTGCAATTTCTTCAATTGCATTTATAATTGCTAGTGATTATTAATTTTTATGAGCCTCCTGTTTAACTAAAGAATGAATGACCTATGAATGTTTTAGTTTCTTATTTTCTTCTAATAAATGTGTATGATTAGATGAATCTTTGTATCATTTAACTCGCATTTTCAGTTCAGACACTTATTTTGATACTTTAATTTTGTGAAGCATAAGTTTGGTGGGCAAATTTTTGTTAACTGGCATTTTTTATATGAGATATTTTCCTTTCATAAACTTGATTGATTATGTTTTGTGAAATGACAGATGAAAGATTTCTATGAGTCACCACCAACAAGTTGCCTGTGACTAAACCTGGTCTATACATTCATAACTAATAGTCACTATTTCTTGTCAAATTCTAGTATTGGAATTTCAAGCAGCTATTAATGTTAAAAAGGAGGATATGTTTTTGATCAGGAGTCAGAGTTTGAGATAGATCCATTTTTATGTTAAAAAAAAAGTTGTATGTGTATTCTAACCAAAAAAAAAAAACTAAATTGCTTGCATATTAATAAAAAGAAAAAAACTTTGGATAAATGAAGTTTGGGTAAAAAACTTTGTATATGTATTACAATATTACTATATTACTATCTTATAAATGTCTTGCTAAAAAAAATTATAACTGTTTCAAAAAGATAGAGTAAGTTTTATAAATGCTCTACTTTCTTTACTAAACAATGTTCTTGCAAAACAAAAGGTTTTAGTAAAAAAAAAAAAAGCATTCAAAAAAAAAACATGTTCAAAAAAAAAGTTCTAGTAAAAAAAAAAAAAAAGAAAACACTTATTAAAAAAAAAGTTCCTTACGAATTGTTCTCTTTTCTAATCTATTATTATCATTATCATTATTGCAAAAAAACAAAAGAAATATTTTTGATTGTTTGTAATTGCATAAATCAGATCTGACCATTAGAATTATGCCAGCGATTAGCATGTCATATGACTACACATGGCTTTAGCAATCTCCTATATTTGGTTCTTATTAATTATATACAATAGTTTGTACTGCAAATCTTATTTATGTACAGTATCTGAGTCACATCAGTGACCCCAACCATTCTAGTTACACCCTATGTTATTCCAGTAACTTCTCAACTATACAACCCCTGTTTTTAATCACTATCTTTACAAATCAATTATTTGATCACAATTTTAACTTGAAAATTTTCCTAAGTTATTACTATATTATCTATTTACTTATTCATATCCCAAAAATGTCTACATTAACCAACCAAGAGCCAGATACAGCAGACCTTGACTACTTCTACCAAAACTTTTCTAACAGTTTTGGAATTGTCCTCTATAAAGAAGAAAATGACAACAATGCTTGTCCAATCCCTTTCAAAGTCAAACCTACTGCTTGCTTAACTATAAACCTTAGATTTAACAAAATTACTTACTTCTTTCAAGCTCCATCTTCCACTTCTGTGATTACTTGCCTTTGTGGCAAATATCACACTAAATTCACCTCACCTACTATACTAACTATATTCAAGCTACTGAACTTACTACAGTTTATGTTAATAGCAACTCAAAGAAAAATCTAAACAGACCAACTTAACAACTTATGACCAATCTCTCTTCTTCAACTGACAGTATTTTTCCATCTCCTATACCTAACATTCAATATCATACCTGTCCCAAATGCTCTCTTCCAATTGGTTGCACCAAAAGAAATAAGCATTACTACCTTAATAAAAAATACGTCACAAAGAATAATAAAGTTTACCATTTTGCTTGTATGACCGTCTCATCTCAATATAAAGCTAGCTTATCTCATACTAAGAAAAATCTTATACAAACTTTACAAAATATTCTAAATGAAACTTCTCAAATTACTAATCCTCTCATTGCCTCTTTTTACCAAAACTCTCAAACTGCTTCTAATCTTATTGATTCTTTCTTCTCTACAGCTACTAACACCAATTCTATTTTTAATCAACCTCCAATTCTTGCTATTCTCAATAACTCTAACCCAAATTCTAACAATTTTAACAACTAATCAATCCAACAATACTTTAAACAAACCTCTTTCTCAATCCTATTCTAGTATTACCAAGCTAAAATCTAATTCCACATATGACTGAATTGCAAATTTTTCTATTACTTAAGAAATGCAACTTAATAAAAAACTACAAACTTCATTCTCTCTTCAACTTTTTACTTTTCTCAAAAAATTCCTCTATGATTTTTATTCTGACA